ACAATTGAAAAGAATTAGAAAAAAAGTTGATGGATGTTTTAAACATTTTTTTTAATATTATATTTACCCGTGATTATTTTTTACATTTGATTCGTATATAGAAATGTGCTTAAAATCAAAAATGAAATTTTTTGTTGTTTGTTTCAAACAAATATCAAAAAAATACTACATGCAAGAATTAGTAATGATCAAAGAAAGATCAACGCTACTGGAGTATGTTAACTTTCTAAAGAAAAAAAATGCAAGAATACATACATGTATGTATATATGTAGAAATATAAAGCTCGCAACGAAAGGGCTTTTTTATGATAATCATATGTACGTATCAGTATTTAAAAGGAAAGTAGGAAGAAAATTGTTCATGAAGAAAATTGAAGAATGGAAAAAAAAAAAAACGTATCTAAACAAGAAACATTTACATATCTACATCGTTTCCTTTCTAATCCGAAATCGTACAACAGCATCTAAACGATCTAACAATCTTGTTCGTTGTCCAATACTTGCTTCAGAATGTCACAGCGCCTTTCCAAAACGGAAAGGAAATTTTCAACTTGCTTCCTTGACATCTTTCCGATCAAAGCCTTGAATCTCGAATCATCGAAATCAAATTGTGGTGCAAAAGGATAATTATGTTGAATAGTATTCGGAGCTACCATCGCAATCGGCGAAGAGACAAGTTGTGATTGAGGAAACATTAAAGGCATGATTGGACGTTGTCCAGGTAAGAGGGTTTGAATGGTAAGTGAATGTTGTGGAGATGTTGGACTCTGTGGATTGGAGTCACATGAACCATCCGAACCTGATCCATCAGGACAGCCATTCGGGTTACCATTAGTAGCACCCCAGTCCCTGCGACGACGTTGAATTTTTGCCTTTCGCATAGCAACAGGACGATCCCTATTATGCAATTTGGCATACAGACCACAGGCATTGCAGATGGGTTGACCCTTTTCGTTCTTTCTCCATAATGGGGTTTGTGTCTGAGCACAGTTTACACAACGGATAGGAGGGGGCTCATTAGCAGGAGTGACGACAGTTACAACAGGTTGAGGAGGCGGCGGCGGCGGCGACGATTGTTGAGATTGTTGCTGTGGCAACTGATGTTGTTGAGATTCCTGCGATTGCGAAGGTTGTGATCCAGAAGTTTCGGATGAAATGCTAGAAACTGTATTCTTTCGTGATGCTGGAAGAGTATATGGACCGCTACTAGTGCTTGGCTTGTTTCTGATATGTAGCGGCCGATGAGTGTTGTATTGTTTATAGTATAAGCCACAGGCGTTGCACAATGAGTGCATTCTATCGGGAGTACGCCGCCAGAGTGGTGTCTTGTTTACACCGCAATTGAAGCACTCTAAGTTTCGTGGTGGCTTTGTACTTGTATGCTTTTTGGTGGTCGTTCCAGATTTAGGTTTGGACGTGGCTGGAGCGTCAGAAGACGCGGCCATAGGTTGAGGAGATGGCGGTGCCGTAGATAAAGGACTAGTGTGGGACGAAGCAGTTTCGACAGCTGAATTGTCCGATTCGTGACGTGAAGAATCACCTTTATTATTAATTATTATTTTTTTTTTTTTATTAAAATAAAACAGGAAAGGTCGATAGTCAGAAAAGGCTCATTCAACAACATGTATTTTCCACCAGAAAAGTTGATTAATACTCACTGCTTGATGCTTGTGACATCAGGATATCTTGTTCATCGTTTTGTTCAAGCTTGACAAAAGTTTCCATACAATCTTCCTGCTTAACTGGCTTTCTACGAAGAATTGAATGCTGCATAGAAGGAGATAAAACAGCTAAAGCATCATCGGTCAAGGCATTGAAGCCAGAATCAGAAAAGAAATCCAAAGAAGAATTTAAATCATCATCCAAAAGATCATCAAAGGAACTACACAACATTTCTGAATTTTCCTCTACACCGAGATTACTGTTCACCGGGGAATTTAAACCAGAAGGAGATATCTTTTCCTCGGTTGGGCTAGCTAACATCACATCGTTAGGATCAAAGAGATCGTCGTTCATGATGTAAGATTCTAGTGAATTCTGATGTTGCTGTATAACGGGAGAGGCCAGAGAATCATTAGCATTAGCGGCCAACCATTGTTGAAGTACTTTCGGGTCCGACATTTCGTTCGCAAGGGCAGATAGGATTTCGTTATCGGTCATTGGTATACTAGACGGAGCGAGCATTTGATACGTAGGTATTGGCACCTGGAAAATCTTGTGATCGGGCGACGCAGGAACGGCGTAGGCGCCAGAGAGATTTGGTGCGTAGAAAAAAGCGCTATCGAGGTTCATCAAAATATGATTTGGAGCCATTGTTAATTTTCAAGGTAGGAGGATGGGAAAATTTTTTTGTGTAAATTAGATTGTTGGACAAAAAAAAAAAAAATAAGGAAATTAGGATGCTTTTATAGGTTTATATAGACAATTGTGATTGAATACTTGATTTTGTGGCTATGCTATGCAAATGCTAATGTTTAAAAAGGTGTTCTCTTTTTTTTTGTTGCGAGAAGAAAAAAACTTTTTTTTTTCAACTGTTCTACTCAGTAAAAAAAGATTTCTTGCAATAAGAGTTGTATGTGTAATGTGTGTATTAAATGCGACGTTGGTTAAAAAAAAAATTATTAATTGCGGAGTGTTCAATCAACGTCTGTACCAACGTGCTTTCCGTTGTGCATATAAAAGTAGTTCATTATAATAAATATAAAATAAATATTTAAATATTTAAATAACGGAAACTGGTCTCCTTGTCTTAGTAAAGCGAGCCAGCTATCAATTTTTGTTTAAGGAAGAGGAGAAGGTGTTTCTATGAAACGTGTTTTTTAAAACACTCAAACGGTGACTACTTTTAAAATGCACACTTTGCGAGTCTTTTATACAAAAAAAATGCAATAGTTTCGCGTTGTTTTTGATTGTTGTGAGAGATACGTATTTTTCCACTTACTCTTGCCAAACTTTGTAAAGCCAAAAATTTGTCGCAGGCTGAAGAAACTCAAAGGCTTTGAATCGATTCCTTTATATAAAAAATTTTTTTAAATATTTATATGCGAAAAATTGTTTGGTAATACGAGTATAACAGGATAGAAAGTCATACACAATAATAGGCTTAGTAATATTTAGTGACTCACACATTTATTTACATTCTTTCTGTGGTGAACCAATAAATGAAATGTGATATTTGAGAATTTTTTTTTTTTTTACATTACAATCAAAAAAAAAAAAAATTTTTTTTTTTTAGAATTACTACAAAAAGCTTTGAAACACAAACAGTGATTTATTTGCCCATCATTATTTTCGCGACGCGTTACCCGAAATTCTCTTGACACAAGTGTCACATGCACAACGTCTTCATTTCTACATAAACTTAATATTAACGGAGTATAACTAGTTAATGAATTATATCGAGCAATTGTGATTCGTGTTTGATATAAAACATAATTTCTTCTTAAACATAAATAGATAAATGTGATCTAAAGGAGATTTCCAAAGTTTCATAAGACTGACCCATGATCATTTCTCTAGATTACACGGGCACTCCGCAACAACGAAAAAATTTACTAAAAAGAGTTTTTTTCCTAAGCGTTGCTCCTAATATGCAGCTGATTTAATTAAAGGTCTAATTAAAGGTTGTAATTTCTTCGATATTCTTATTCCCGCACAATAAATATGACTTTTGTATTTGCATTTCGATTTACATTAAAACAAATATATATATTTTTTTATATACAAACAAAAAAAGTAAATCAATTTATTTTCGCATTATTTGTTATATATTCGAACAATTCCTATCAACTTGATTGTATATTACCATTGA